TGTGCACTAGGGTAGGGGGACACTGTGTGTGCTTACATACCCTCCTGGGCACTAGGGTAGGGGGACACTGTGTGTGCTCATATACCCTCCTGGGCACTAGGGTAAGGGGACACCGTGTTTTCACCCCTTCCAAAACCAATCCAGAACTTGCAGAGTCTCCACTGTCAGCCCCCTCATCAGGCTGTGGTTACATGGTGACCCCCACACTTGCAGGGAAGCTGGAAATACAGTGTTTTATGATTGGCCATCTGCTCTACAAGAAAGTTGCAGCTTCCATCCTGTGAGAAAGAATAGGGAGAGAGATCTGGAAGGATTGACAGCCTTTGGCACAGACATGCTCAGTAAGAAAGATTTACCTGAGCTGACAGAGCCTGGCCTGAGAAGTGAGGCAGAAAGGGTTAAAAATCCTGGTTCTTCTGCTTAGAATGTGTGACCTTGGACCAACTAATTTAATATGACCTTAGGTTTAACTTGTAGAATGGGGACATGAGTAAACTATATTATTGGCTTTATGAAGATTGAATGTAAATATGTTAAATATGTTACGCATACCTCATACAGCGGTGCTTACATTTGGCCGAGGTGACAGGCAGGTCCAAACGTCTTTGTTAAACGTTTCTCTACTTCTTGTGTAAATGAAGGTTTATAGCAACAGCACAAAGTCTTAGGACCTTGGAATTCTTGCTGATCTGCCACAGCGCGTCATGATCCATCATGGCTGTTTGAGGGCCAGTCATTGTGATCGCAAGGAGCCGGCTAAGGAGAACAGAAGAAAGGCAGCTCTTTTCTCGGATGGGCATCCTGGGGCACCCAGCATTTCTCTTCATATCTGATTGACAAGAACTTAGTCACATGACTATGTTTACCTGAAAACAAACAGTTTGGAAAGAGAGTTTTTATCCTGGGGTTCCTGACCATTACGAAGACTAGGGAGAAAGAGATGAAGACAGGACTGAGTTAGGATGGAACACTGACTTAGTTTGTCCTGTTGGCCTCCCAAACAGGACAAACAAAAAGAGTCTGTGCACACTCTTTCTCAACACACAGAACCAGGCTCACGGCCCAGGGATACATGGGGCTCATTTAGCCCTTACATTGCCTCAGAGTCCAAGGTTTCTGCACTCGGGTCCTGAGTGTCATGTTTAGGTATGACTTCTTGTGATTTGGTGACCAGGGTTCAAGTGACAGACCCTTGTATACCCAAACTCAATGTTCAAAGAGGAAAAAGATAAACTTTTGGCAAACACTGATGAGAGAGCTCTTTAGAATTCAGGGGCTCACAATCCTCTTCTGGGCATCTCAGCCTTTCGTGTTTGTTTTTAAACTTGATCGTCTAGAACTCACTGTGCAGTCAGGGCTGGCCCCCAATGTGTGACCCTTTCCCTTGTGCCTACCAAGTCCTGGGTTTACAAGTGTGTGCCACTATGGCCAGCTTCAGCCTTGAAGTCGCAGGCTTCCTTATGGCATTTGGACATGAACATACCCAGGGGCGGCTGATGTTTAAAGACTTTTGTAGGGGTGTGGGTGGCTGTACAGGCCAGAAGATGCCATTGGATCCCCTGGAACTGGAGTTACAGGTGGTTGTGAGTTGCCCAATGTGGGTGCTGGGAACTGAACTCTGGGACTGTACACGAGCAGCAAATGCTGTTAACTCTTAACTGCTGAGCCACCTCTTCAGCCTTCCCACTTAATTTTTAAAATAAGATTTAAGCAAAATTTCTTATCTGTTTGCGTGTTTTGCCTGCGTGTATACATGTGCACCATGAGTGTGCCTGCAGGGGTCCAGGGAGGGCATCGGTTCCCCTAAAACTGGAGCTTCAGATGACAGTGAACCACCATGTGGGTGCTGGGAATTGAAGTTGGGACCCCTGTAAGAACACCAAATGTTACTCCATCTCTCCAGTCCCCGTATTTAATCTTAGCTGACCCTCCCACCCATCTCCTCCTTTCTCCACCTTCCTGCCCCCACCCTCACTGATATTCTTAAGAGTGTAGGGCCCTAGAACCTAAAGCCAGTTCTTCATTTCTTTTCCCCCTTGTTAAATCTACATGTTGCCTGGCACCTGATTTTTTCTAAGCTTGATATTTCACAAACTTTGAGCTCAAACCTTCTGTTCAGCTATGTTTCCATCTGGAGGCAGAGACAGCAAGCCACGGGAGAGTCAGTTATCTCCTGGGGAGAACCCTGTGGAAGCGCTGAATGCACTGAAGTGGGAGGGACTTTGGAAAGAGTCGAAGGAGCAGTTTATTTTCACGGCTCAGCACATGCTAACTTCCTAACATTTAGCTGGCAAGTCTCTGTGGCAGGGCTGGCACAGCTGCTTCTGGGGAGCACTGTGAGGGGTGGAGTGGCGGGGGGGGGGGGATCCAGTCAGGCTAACTGGGTCCAGTGCAGGAGGAGTCTTGGTATCTCTCTGTCTCCGTTTCCTTGGCTGTCTGTAAAGGATGCTCCCATAGAGCCAATGAGAACATGGGTTGGCTTACATGAATTGGGCAGAGTAGCACCTCACCAGGAAGCCTCAATACACTGGAACCCGAAGTCTCCCTTAGAGTTGAAGTTAGAGGCACCTCTAGGAGCGGGTAATGGAATCCTTAAAGTTTCCTGCGAGATGAAGTGGGGAGGGGTCACAGGGCAGTGGGACGGGCTGTCTAGGAACTGGGGGATCTCAACCCATCTCTCTCCCAGCTGTTAAGAAAGGGTCGGGCAGCTCCTGTCCAAAGTCCTTACAGCCTCCGTTCCTCTACACAGTGTGGTCTCTTCCCAGCACAGTCATCTCCCTGGCCCTCTCCAGGACCTTTATTTGTTCTTGTCCTAAGCCAGTCCACCCTAGTTTTTTTTGTTTGTTTGTTTTGTTTTGTTTTTACATCAGCAGGGAAGAGAGGGAGGTGAATCTGTCCACATGTGCTCAGAGTTCTTAGCCTCCTCAGCCTTCCTGGTAGCCCTCGGCCCCAGAGATGGTTGTCTTTGTATTCACTGCCCCGCAGTTCCTTGCCAGACCTCTGTCTTTCTCGAGAATGGTGTTCTATTTATTTTCAACTCGGTCCCAGCACCACGATGACTGAGTCGGTGACGGCTCAAGCCGAAAAGGGTTTCCCCTTCCTCTCCCTTGTCCTTTATGCAGCAGGTAGAGTCACAGTACTTCCAGTTGCCTGTCTAGCAAGAGTCTGCTTTTCTCGAGTCTAACATCAGCTTATCAATCGAGGCAATCCAGGACTTCCAGCAGATGGCGCCAAACCCCGCACAGAATAGGTAGTTTGTTTTTCTCTGTGTACCCTGTGTCAGAGGCCTGATCTGCTCGTCCACGTTTTATGCCCTGCTCCCGACTCTGCATCGCTACTGTTCCATTCGCGGGTATCAAGTAAAGGAATGATTTCTTAAAAACGGCATGATAATGCTGCGTCTGTCCACCAGAAAACCCAGGCTACATGACTGATGGGTGGACCGTGTACACAGCGTGGATGGGCTTACACACACACACACACACACACACACACACACACACACACACACGGGTGACTCACGTAGCACACAATTTTCCCTTGGAGATACAAAATGTTACTATGGGTTTTTGCAAAAATATGTTAAATATGAGTACTTTGTTGTATTTTGAAATACAACAAAAAAGATATAAGCATGCCAATCACGTGTTTGAATGCGGCAGCTGTAGGAATCGCTGTTCGAAGTTCTTACGGTTGCTCTCAAGAGCTGTGCTGGTCTCAGCCCAGGAAAACTGCAGAGAGAAACATGGTTGGTGGGTTCCAAGGTTTAGGACTGACTCGTATGTCGAAACGATAGCCTGAAAAGACAGCGTTTCATTCTTGCAACTCTGTGTGTGCTTATTTATTTGTTTGCTTGTTTATTTGTTTGTTTATGGACACGTTTAGATCATTTCTACCATGAGGTGCAAAATGAGAAAGGAAAATGAGAATCGGGAGGAGCAGAAGAGAAAAGTCAACCAGACAAGCTCTGGACAGAGACCTACTCCGTGGTTTCTTCCGCAAAGCCGCTCTCTGCCCTCCTCGCCCTTTCACCCGGGCTCTGGCTCTAAGGCCTACAAAACCTGTCGCTCCAGCAGCATTCCCTGCAGCTCGCTGGGCCACAAGGAGCAGTCCCGGCAAGTGCGGCGCTCGGTGGACCTGGAGCTGGAGCAATGCCGGCAGCAAGCCGGCTTCCCAGGGATCAGAGAGAAGGGGGAGTCCTTGCCCTTGGCCCCAGACACCCACTGTGATGCTGATGCGGGACTGGAGCCCACTCCGGAGGAGTGGAAGCAGGTGAGCGTGACTAGCTGCTGCTTCTGAGGAGATGCCTGCCATCTAGGAACCAACAGATCAAAATTCCTGTAAAATGCGGAGGTTGCCCAAGGCCCCTCTGAAAGAATAAAAATTGGAAGAAGTGGGGCGAAGTGGGTACCTTCGGAGGATGGCGGGGAAGGGGGGCTGCCGTGGTACGCCACTAAGCAAACACGCCACACACAACAAAATTAATGCAGGAGGTTTATTAGGGGAGGGGAAGAGTGAAAGGCCATGTCGGAGTGGGGACATGAGAGAGGCAGACAGGTGGGGGGATGGGGAAGAAGGAAGGAAGAAGAGGAAGAAAGCAAGAGAAACGAGAGGAAAGAGGTAATGGAGCGAGCTGTGCATGGCGAACACTTATAAAGGGTGCACACGTTGCATAGCTGATACTGGAAAGGCTCCTGGTGACCGCTGATGACGTAAGTGCTTTGGCGGCTGAAGCAGGCTGCTGCCCCAGAGGAAACACCCACTTTCTATCAGGAAGAGCATTAGTTTTGTCTAATAACTCATGTTACGTTTGTAATGAGCGGGGAGAGGATGCAAGGGACTGTCGCCCACAATCATCTGTTTCAGGACTCGGCATCAACTGGGCATCAACTTAGGTCAACTCAGTGGATTCTTTTCCACGTTAATTTTATGCAGGAAGTTGGACGCTCTAGTACAAGACTTAGAGAACTAGCCAGCAGCTTCTGGGCCCCTGTTGTCAGGAAAGTATGGGCTTCCCTGACTCTCTAGAACTCTGTCATTTGGTCGCCCCTCTCTACCTGCAAGGGAGTCTGGGAAACTGTCTATCTATACCTGGGCACATTGCTATCCCAAACACATTCTGTCAGGACAGAGGAAAGCAAATGGGGCAGATATGGAGGTGGCCCTGCACAGTGTGGCCCATCATTTGCCGAAACAGGAGACTCAGACTAACTGGAAAAGACATTTGCAGGGGCAAGACCATGTCAGAGAGGCCCTGAAATGGCTGGCCTGCTGTCTTGGTTTGGTACTGTTGTTCTGGTTTTGTTTTGTTTTTGAGATGTGGGTTTCTCTGTGTAGCCCTGGCTGTCTTGGAACTCACCACATGCCAGGCAGGTACGCCTGCCTCTGCCTCCCAAGTGCTGGAATTGAAGGCTGCTATTTAGTTAGGGTTTCTATTGCTGTAATTAAACACTATGACCAAAAGTAACTTGGGAGGAAACGGTTGATTTTACTTCTACTTCCACATCATGGTCCACCACGGAGGAAATTCAGGGAAAGAGCTCAAACAGATAGGGACCTGGCATCAGGAGATGTTGAAGAGGCCACGGAGGAGTGCTGCTTACTGACCCTGGAATGCTCCAGCTGTTTCCTTAGGATCCCCAGGACCACCAGCCCAGGGGTGATGACACTCCCTGTGTGATGGGCCTGGTGTATGGATTATTAATCAAGACAGTAACCCACAGGCTGGCCTATAAGCCAGGCTTACTGAGGCATTTTCTCAGTCGTGTTCCCTTGTCTCAGATAACTCTAGCTCTAGCTCATGTCAAGTGACATAAAACTGTCAGCACACCCGGTGACCAGGTTGGAGGTGATGTTGGTGGTTTGGGGCAGTTACAGAACTATGCAAACTCTATGGTGTTGTCATTTGTCATCTGCAAAAATGGCAGTTTCATAGAGTTCATCCAACAAAGAGAAGAATCAAGACTCCTTTAAGAGCTAAAATGAGCAGAAGTAGCCCTGACTGGACAAAGGAGGGTGAAGAACAGATGTCACTCTCCCCGAGTTCTTAGTCTGGGCTTCAACAGCAGCGTACACTTGAAATTTAAAATGGAGGCCTCTCCTTTTGTGACATGTGACCCAATAGTGTGCAAATAATTCAAATGCATTTTTCCTGCAAAGTACATTCTGGCAGTATTATTGCCATCCCTCCAAATCTGTGGTCCCTGCGTTTGCATTGTGTCAGACTGGCAATGCATACTCTCCTGAGTGTGAGCAAGATGGTGGAGCCTGAACTGCCGGAAACACATCTCAGGTCTTCTGCAGCCTTCTGTCAGAATCCTTAAGTTGCTTCAAAAAAGCAAAATGTTGGTTGAGCTTCTCCAGGACCACGACTATGGCCCCTGAACACCACAGGGAAGACTGTCCTGCCATTTCTAGTTCTGCCTTCACTTTGGAGCGAGGGTAGATGGGCCTGGGATGCAGGTTCTGAAGTTAACAGTCCTTACCCACAGCTGCTTCCCGACCAATGCAACTTCTTCTACACGTTGACATTTTATATAAGATTTATATCCAAGAAAATGGGTCTGTGCTTGCCAACCAATAGCCATGTATGAGTGTACATCCACTTATGAAATAAAACATTTCTAAGCTGCATGCCTGTTATAGAGAATGAATACATCTCTGTTCTTGGGAAGTGGAGGCAGGAGATCTCAGCCAGTCTGGGCTATACAAGACCATGTCTCAAAACAAGCAAACAAAAACAAATGAACAATCAGGAAATCTCAAACACTGGGAGGCTGAGGTAAGAGGGTCATGGTGAGTTCAAGGACAGCCATAACTATTTAGCAAGACCCTGTCTCAAGACAAACAAGCAAATAAAAAACCCAAGCAAACAAGAAAAAGATGAGACAAATTTTTTTAAATGCAGCCTTAGCATTCAAAATATAAACATGGGGCTGGAGAGATGGTTCAGTGGTTAAGAGTAAAAGCACCGTGAGTCCCTCATCCAGAGGACCCTGGGTTTGATTCCCAACATCCATAGGATATCTCAAAACCATCTGTAACTCCAGTCCCAGGGAAGCCAACACCCTCTCTGGCCTCCTTGGCCAAATAAAACTCCAAAATAAATGTGTCCAACATAGATTGCATAGAAATGGATTCATTTCCATCTTAATTTTCCTTTCTTTTCCTCCCTCCTCTGCTTCCTCCTCCCCACCGCTTCCTTCACCTTCCTTCTGTTTTTCCTGTGAATGACTGAGTGGTTGTGTACCTTGGTCTTCCTAGGTGGTGGATATTCTGTGGAGTGATCCGATGGCTCAGGAGGGCTGCAAGGCCAACACTATCCGAGGAGAAGGCTGTTACTTCGGGCCTGATGTGACAGAAAAGCTGCTGGAGAAATTCAAACTGCAGTTCTTGATTCGTTCACACGAGTGCAAACCTGAAGGCTATGAATTCTGCCACAGTCGCAAGGTGGGCTGAGCTAGGGTTTGTTACCTCCTTGCCCAAGACAGCTAGGTACTGTGTGTGTGTGTGTGTGTGTGTGTGTGTGTGTGTGTGCACGTGGAAGCATGAAGTTAACATTGGGTATCTTCTTCAGTTGTTCTTCAGTTTATTGAGGCAGGTCACTCACTGATTCTAGAACTTACCAATTCATCTAGCCTGGCTGGCCAGTAAACCCCAGGGGTCTACCTATCTCTACCTCTCCTGTATGGAGATTACAGATGGGTACCACTAACCCAGCTTTTTGTGTGGATGCCGGAGAGTCACACTCAAGTCCCCGTGTTCCATGCGACAAGCACTCTCCCAACAGGACCATCATCTCTACTTTACAATCTTACCTTGAACTTTTATGACTTTTTTGTTTTGTTTTGTTTTTGAGACAGGGTCTCTCTATATAGCCCTGGCTATCCTGGAAATCACTATGTAGACCAGGCAGGTTTCGAACTCACAGAGATTTGCCTGTCTCTGCTTCCTGAGTCTTCCTGGTATTAAAAGTATCACCACACCCAGCTTTTAACATTTTATATTTGATTGTAGCTACTGCTTCCCAAAAGCCTGAAAGCAAGGGACAGATAAGAGCCTTTTTGATTGATGAACATAGGAGGCCAGTGTTTCCCCAGACACCTCTTTAGCTCTAAGTCATGTGGTTTGCGATCAGTTCCCTCAAACATCCCTTCGAGGCACTGGATTTTGGCACTGTCCAGGCAGATATTCAGAATCTTGTGTATTTAGCTATCTCTAAGTGCAACAATGTAGGAGTCCGTGTTCCCAGAATCCTCTTTCTATGGGAGAACAATGGATTCACAGTTAATTAATAGAAGAAACATTTGGCCACATGGTTATCGTGTTTCCTTGTTGCAAGGCTCCAAAACCTTTCTTTCTAATGCTCACTGTAAATTTTAAGGGAGAGAGAGTGCACTCAGCATCCCCCAGGATAAAATGTACGTGTCAACAGGGGAAAGTCTCACAGGGTATCTCTGAGGTACTCCTGTCTTAGCTAGGGTTCAGCTGCTGTGAAGAGACACTGTGACCACGGCAACTCTTATAAAGGAAAGCATTTGAGGTGGCTTGTTTACAGTTCAGAGGTTTAGTCCATTATCAACCTAGCACAACAAGGCAGCATGCAGGCGGACTTGGTGCTGGAGAAGGAGCGGCTACATGTTGACACGCAGGCAACAGGAAGGTGGCTGTCTCACTGGGTGTGGCCTGAGCACATAGGAGACTTCTAAGTCCGCCTCCAGGGATACACTTCCTCCGATGAGAAGACTACACCTCCTAATAGTACCACTTCCTTTGGGGGCCATTTTCTTTAAAATTACCACAGGTACAAAACCCATAGAAACCCTACTCTGGGAACTGGAGAGATGTCAGCTCAGAATGCTTATTGCTCTTGCAAAGGACCTGAGGTCTGTTACTAGCATCTGTTTAGGACTCACAACCACCTGAGACTCCAGTTCTGAGAAATCTGTCGCTGACTTCTGGCCTCTGTGGGCACTGCACACACACACACACACACACACACACAGAGAGAGAGAGAGAGAGACAGACAGACAGACAGACAGAGAGACAGAGAGACAGAGAGAGATTCAGAGAACACATAAACTCATACAGGGCCATACACACTCAAAATTATAAAAAAAAAAAAAAAGAATTAAGGAAACCCTGCACTGGGGCCGCTCACTAACTTTAGAACTAATTTGCCTTCACACAAAGGCCTTTGTTATTAAGTCCCAACCTGCCTCCAAGCTGAGCCAAATAAAGTATATTACCCCTTTGTTTAAAACAACTTCTGCTAATTTTATGTGGGATAGAAAAATGAAATCATGTTATGGATTGCCAATCAGTTTGAGTGTCGACAACTTAAGTCACAATTCTCTAACAGCATTAAGGACAGAGAGAGGTGTGTAGAAGGAGGAGGAGGAAGATGAGGGAAGGAAAGACAGTAAGGAGGGAGGGAGGGAAGGAAGGAGGTCCATAAATGAGTGTGCGAAGCTGCCCTGACGTGGGTTGGCCAATGGGGTTGAGGATGGAGGTTCTTTGGTGCGCATACATGCCATGACGCTTCTGTTTGATTCAGGTGTTGACCATCTTTTCCGCCTCCAACTACTATGAAGTTGGCAGTAACAGAGGTGCCTATGTCAAACTGGGACCAGCCCTAACTCCACATATCGTGCAGTATCAAGCTAACAAGACGACACACTGGCTAACCATGAGGCAAAGGCAAGCTTTTCAATGAGTGGTTATCAGAAAGAATTTTTCCAAGTGTTGGTAGTGCGTGCTTTTAGTCCCAGCACTCGGGAGGCAGAGGCAGACAGATCTTTGTGAGTTCGAGGCCAGCCTGGGCTACAGAGTAAGTTTCAGGACAGCCAGGGCTATTCCACAGGGAAACCCTATCTCAGGAAAAAAAAAAGAATGAAAGAAAGGAAGGAAGAAAAGTAATTTTACTGTTTTGAAACATTAGATATCATTGTGTTTATTCAAATTCTCCATAATTTAGCTACATTCCTATTAAAGTCTAGAATAGACATTGTACCAGAGTCCCTGTCTTGTTCTCTTGGTTGTTGTTTTTTATTTCATTGCTCAGGTTTTTGTTTTTTCTTTTTGAGACGGAGTCTCACTGTGTAGCCTTAACTGGCCAGGAACTTGCTATGTGTACCAGCCTGGCCTTGAACTCATGGAGATTCACTGGCCTCTGTCTTCTGAGCCCTGGGATTAAAGGTTTTTGCTTACTTAGCACTGGTTTCTTTTCTTTCTTTCTTTCTTTCTTTTCTCCTTCCTTCCTTCCTTTCTTTTTATTTCTTTTTTCCTTTTTTGAGACAGGGTCTCATGTAGCCCAGGCTGGCCTCAACCTCACACGTAGACAAGGATGACCTTCACTTTCCAGTCCTTCTGCCTCCACCTCCCAAGAGCTGAGAATTCAGGTAGGCACTACCATACCTGCCTAATTCTGTTTTCTGATATTATAATGAAATATCCAATGCACAGTATTTACAAAGAAGGTAAGCTTATTTAGCTTAGAGTTCTGGAGGTTGGACGAGTCGGATTGGACAGCCTCTCAGTCCGTCCTTGGGTGAGGACCTAAGTGCAGGTGACATCTCATCAGGGGTAAGGACCCAGGGAAAGATCACACCTTGAGACGGGAAGCAGACAAGGGAGGGGCCTTACTTAGGTTTCATCTATTTTAGTAGTTTTCTCACCGAACTCAGTCAAAAGTCCCACGAGAACTGCCTTAATCTCTTGTGTGTGTGTGTGTGTGTGTCTCTGTGTGTGTGTGTGTCCGTGTGTGTGTGCGTCCGTGTGTGTGTGTGTATGTGATGACCTAAGGACCTTACTCTCAGCCCTGCCCTACAAAAGTTCCATCACCACACTGCGGTTCAAGTCCCCAACACATGAAGCTTTGGAGAACGTGTCCTAGCAAACTAGAACGGCCTGCTTCTCCACACCCTCTTCTCTTCAGCCTCCCATCACTGATACAGGCATCTCTGGATAAGACCCGGGTATCAGGCCTCCAGATGTCAGGTCACTAAGTCCTGTCAATGTTATTCTATTTGCTGCTACTCGGGAACAGTTTGTGGTACCCCAAGGGGTAACACACCCATGGGACTTGGCAAATAGATTTCAGAGCACAGATTTGCTAACTGTGAGCCTTTCTGGAAAGGAGGCCTGGGCTAAGAAAGATCTGGGAAAGATCTGACTGGGAAAGGAGATCTGACTGGTGTCTGTTGAGATGATTTGGAGAGTTATGAAGAATTCACATACATCCTCTCACACTGAGTTTGTGACATGTACCTCTTTCATTCGATCCTTTTCATGTTGCTAGATGAATCCACCAGGAAGCAGAACTTAGCTCAGCCAGCCTGAAGTGAGGCTGGCAGTCTGCACCCTGGCACTCGGATTGTAGCGTTCCTGGGTTTAATGACTATTCATTATTGCCTCCGTGGAGAAGAGGGCTTCGGGGTACACGAGAGCTTGCTGAGAGGTCCAGCTTTAGTCTGCTGAACCGTCTTCTTTAATTATTCAGTCAAACTAAATTAAAAATCAAAATGGACAAAGTTAGCATAAATCAAGTGGGTGGAGATTTAAAATATTAAAGATTTGACATTGACTTTGAGTTCAACCTTTTTCAGAAAGAAACGTGACATAAAATGTAAATTTCCCACAGAGAATAAACCCTCTCGTGAATCCAAATCATCCTTGGAGCTTTATTAAAAAACAAAGCAAAAAACCCAGAAACCTGAGCATCCCACAGGGCTGGCTACTCAGCTGCTCCCCGGGAACGGACCCAGCACTGGAAAACTGCAATCTTCTAGGACTTAGCTGTTGTCACTACAGAGTCACTGTGGGGGACTCTGTGAGGGGTGAGCTTTAATAAGAAGAGCAAATAGAATTCTTCTTATGGTAAACACTGAGTGTGTTAAATTAAGTTACTAATTATTTGTTATAAATTACTTATTAAGTTACTAATTAATTATTAAATTACTTAGCCTAACTTCCCCAGAAGTCACTATCAACAGCACCAGCCACCTAGAACACAATGGTTAAGTTAGAACTCAGTGAGGGGGCTGTCCCATGGCCTCAAGGCCGTCAACTCTCGCTCGCCTTTCTCGGAAGAGCCTGGTTTAGAGTTTGTGTACTGTTTAAATTCAGGTCCTACAGGACAGCGTAGCCAGCCTGCATTTCAGCTGGTAAGGCCGTGGCATCGTGTCATGACAGCACTACCCACTTCAGAGGGTGTGGAGGACTGGCAAGATAGGCTATGCCGTAAGCTGGCCAGACAGCTTGGTGGGTAAAGGCATGTCCAACCAAGCCAGACAATCTGAGTTCCGGGCCTGGGATTCACGTAATAAAAGGAGAAGCAACCTTGAAAATTATTCTCTGATCAACACACGCTTGCTGTGGCGGTTACACACACATGCACACACACGCACACACACACACACACGCACACTACATGCAGAGTTCCAGGAGATACAGAGAACCTCATCCAGACAGAAGGTTGTCTAGGCATTGCTGCCCCAGGTCCCTGCCTAACTGTCAATGCCTACTGTTTGCAAAGACATCACTCAAATGACTGCACTAACCTGTTCTTTTTAGGGTCTATAGATCTGTTAGCTTCTGGTATAATAACAAATTCTAGACAAATCTTGTGGTCTCATACACTCAGGCACACACATGCACACACAAATTGGACCAAGTTTCAGATAGCTCACACAAAAGGTTAATGGAACCTGCATATGGGTTGCTAGTTAAATAGCTTACATTGTAATGAACATTACCCTAACCAAAACAAAACCCTATTTCTTTTTCTTTTTGTTTTTTTTTTCTTTGCAAGAATGCCTCATATATTCCAGGCTAGCTTTGAACTTGCTGTGTAGTCAAGACTAACCTTGAACTCCTGAACCTTCTGTGTGCCTCCAGAGTGCTGGGATTGTAGGCATGTTTCCCTATACCTGGTCAATGAATAGTTTTATCAAGCATAACAAAAATGCTTTAAAAAATAGTTATCACTTGGAAAGAAAGGTTAGCTGATCGTAATTTATAGAATGGTTGGCTCTTTGATATCACAAATTAAGTACTTTTGTTTTCTATCTCTTGTCCCTGCAATTATAAATATTTATCAAGTATCTATTTTGGGCCAAGTGCTATGCCCATAATTATTTGGTTGACCCAATACAAATGAGAAAATTGGGTTAGGACCATAGTTTTTAACTACAATACATGCTTAGCATGGGCAAAACTTGATTCCAACACTCTTTTTTTCATCAAAAAATAATTTTAAGAAGCTTGAATTAGTGATTTTTGTGTTTTTATGTAAATATCATTTTCATTTTCTGCTTAATATAATAATATGAGGAAAACATGATGATTTAGGATGAAAACAAATATAACATAAAAAGATGATGCTAGGCTTTCTATGAAATGCTCACTATGAATTTTCTTATTTAAAGTCCACTTTCACCCTGTGAGGCCGATGGCCTTTTATACCTTTTTATGGATGGAGGCATAGTCTGCTTAGAATACTTGACAGCAGGGGCAATCTGGTTTTTTGGTTTTGGTTTTTCGAGACAGGGTTTCTCTGTAGTTTTGAAGCTAGCTCTTGTACACCAGACTGGCCTTGAACTCACAGATCACAGAGATCCTCCTGCCTCTGCCTCCCAAGTGCTGGAATTAAAGGCGTGTGCTACCATTGCCCGGCTAGAGAGGCACTCTTTCTCCAGAGAGAGAAGTAAGAGATGGAACACTTCCCTCCAAAGTTGAGCTCTTGGGAGCCCGAGGTGCTGAGAATGAGAGGAGGCATGGGCGGGAATCCAGGACTTATCTTAGACTCAGCTTTTCACAGACCCCTTCTCTCCTGGTTCCAGGATCAGCAGGGTGGAGGAGTCAGCCCTGAGAGCCCTAAGGCAGAACTTATTTGCTCATTCCTCAGACCTGCTTGTCGAATTTCAGAAGCACGACGTGGATGAGAGCGGTAAGGACAAGAGAAGCACCCAGGGAGTCGCTGTAGGCTTGAGCATGACAGTGCTGCTAAGGAGAAGGGAAAAGGCACTAGGGAGAAGGGGACGGGGTATTTGTCCTGGGGGGACAAAGGACTGCCTCTGGGCAGAGGGGAGACAGACGTGGCCCATAGGCAAATGTCAGTTTATGAAGGGGGAAAGAGGAAAGCCTTTGTTAGGATGACATGTTTCGTTTTAAATTGGGCATGTTAATTAGGTAAGCCAAAAGGAGGCTTTGCTGTCATACTTCAATAGTCTGATAGCTGGACCTTGGTAGTCAGTCTCAGGAGGAGGAAGTAGCCAAATAAGTAGCCACTAAACCTTGGTGGTATCCAAGGTTTAGCAAGGAAGAGGGAAGGGGGGGGAGGACACGACACCGAGGGGAGGGAGCAAGGCCTGCCAAAGCCATGTTTGCCACGCTTGGGTCTGTTAGAGAGCCCTTCAATACACACATATATACATGCACGTATACAAATACTTACACATATACATACATGTACATCCATATACACATACATTTTATAATATTACTTATAATAATCTTCATGGTCCCAAATTTAATAAATAAAAGAATGCATCATTAAGTTTTAATTACAGGCAGACACCAGAATTTTGTATCATATTTGACACACACTTATGCTTTATTGCCTGTCTGAAATTCAAATCGGCCACCTTGCATAGCATCTGGCAAAGCCTCATTTCCAATCAACTTTACCAAGAAAAGGGACAGTCCTGCCCGTTCTTCCTGTTACCCACCTATAGTTCAAGAATGTCAGGATAAAAACGTACACATGGCATGCACGTCCTGCCAGACGAAGCTGAGTTTCTAGGCGGCAGCTCAACAGGCCTGGCCGTTCCCGCAGGCACAGTCACCCTGAGTGACTGGGCGGTTGCTGTGGAGACTGTGCTGCACCTGGGCCTGCCATGGCGGATGCTCCGGCCACAGCTGGTGAACAGTTCCGCGGAGAATGTGCTGGAGTACAAGTCCTGGTTGGAGAGCTTGGCCAAAGAACAGCTGAGCCGAGAGGTAAGGGGGTGACCAGGGTGACCGGGAGCACACCGTAGCCTCAGAACCCCCTCAATTCTGAAACAGCTGTTTAGGGCCCCAAAGGCAGGCTGGGGAAAACAGAAGCAATTATTTGTTATGTTCCCATGTGTCAGACTGTGTGTTCTGGGGGTTTACATAGCTGCCTCAATTAATCCCCCCAAACACCCTAGAGGTAGGTGTTACCCTGTGCTATCAGAATGCATTGCCCATGGAGCTTAAGATGTTAGCCTGGGGTTAGAGAATTCCTCAGCAGTGACTCAGGCATGGGCTAAGGGTGTACTTTGTGGGAAAGCATGTGATTAGCATGTCCAAAGCCCTGAATCAACCTCCAGAATGAAACAGACTGGAGTCTACTGACTTTAAATCTCTTTGTTTTCCTACCACTGTCTGTGACTCTTCCTCTCTACTAAAACACTAGTAAATAAACAATTACTGACAATGCCATTAAGTGAGACTTTCTGTTATGTGCTTTTGAAAGAACATCCTTGCTGCAACATAATTCACACGTTCTGTGAATTCACCCACCTGGAAGAACACAGTCCAGCAATGTGCAGCATGTGATCATCCCTTGTTGTCTGCATGAGGAGGGCGCTGGGGGTTGTGGATGCTCAAATCCCTGTGTGGAAAGCATGGCTGTGCACATCCTCCAGCAGACTTTAATCTCTAGGTTACTTATCATACCAAATGCAATGCAAATGGTATGTAAAAATCTGTGACTCTGGATTGCAGAGGGAATAAGGATGGGAAAAGTCTGTACATGTTCAACACTGACACGATTTTCATCCATGGTTAAACCCATGGATGCTGAACCTCTGGATGTAAAAGGATGACTATATTCTCAGATACAGGCAACCATCTGCCACTATCAATTTTGGAATATTTTTACCATGATTGACATTCCTACTTCCCTCTGGAGAGGTGGAATAATAATAAAATAGCTTTGGTCTTTTTTGAGAATGTGTAATTGTCAGGGTTCATTGTGTGTCCTAACTATATGTTAGAACAAAAAAAGATAAGGTGGTTTTATTTTATTTTATTTTTTCTTACAGAACATCCAGTCGAGTCTTTTGGAAAAACTCTATAGAAACCGATCCAACTTGGAGACGATTTTTCGGGTCATCGACAGTGATCATTCAGGTAAAATGACCCATTGTCCTGTCACTGCTGCTGCTGAGCTGTCCCCAGCCGTGCTGGAAAAACACCTTCTACACCAGATGGTCTTGGTGAGATTTATTAGTATCTGTTTGAGATAGACTCCTCCCGTGTTCTCCAGCCTGTAAACTCCCAGGCTCAAACCAGGTCTCCCTGCCTCACCCTCTTTAGCTGTCCCAGATCACAGCACTCAACTCCACTTCTGGCTTCACTGAGTGACCCTGGAATCTTTGTTTAAAAAAAAAATCAATTACAGGCCAGCAAGATGACTCAGTGGGTAAAGAGGGACTTGCCTGAGAATCCCCAGAACCCACAGTGGAAGGCGAGGGAGAACTGACTCCTGAAAGTTGCCCTCTGACCTCCACATGCAGACTGTGGCTTGCATGGACAAGAGCGCGCATAAGCATGTGTATGGGTGTGAGCAGAGACACTACACTAATAACCACAATGAGAAAAGCTTAACTGACATGAACGGAGGATGAAGTGTGGCGGTAGAGCCCTGGTCAGCCATCTGAGAGGCCTTGACCTGGGTTCAACTTCTACAACTACTGAAAACCAAGCCGAAAATAAACTCCAACGAATTGCCCATGGGTCCAAGGGCTCTTGTTATGTTATGACCTGTTTTGACTTTGAGGTGAGGACTCAGAACACTATCCAGGTGGGAGTCAAAGTCTTAGGCTCAAGCAAACCTCACACCTCTGCATCCCATGAAGCAATGTCAAGTGTGTCTGGCTTACACACGTCTTGTAAACAGTATGAATAAGCGTACGACTAGGATGAGTTAGTGTAAGACACCCACGACTGACATTTGGGGCAGGATGATGTATTTTGAGGGGCTTTTGTGCATTGTGTGGTGTTAAGCAGCAGCCCTGGCTTTTGTCCACTAGACGCCCATAGCACCCTATTCTCACGTTTGCTACGACTGTAAATGTAACATTGCTGGATGGGCGCTCCCAGAGAGCATAGCTGCTCCCTGCTGAAAGGCACTCATGATCCACACTTTTCTGTGGTGCCTTGGGAGTTTATACTGCACCCTCGGCCTTGGGATCTGCATCTACCTACTAGCTGGGGAATAGGTTTCCCCACGAGCAAGTCACACGGTGGGTACTAGCACCGTAACTCTATGGCTCACTGGCTTCTCCCCCTTGTAAGGATTCATCTCCCTGGATGAGTTCAGACAGACATGGAAGCTCTTCAGCTCCCACATGAACATCGACATCACCGATGACAACATCTGTGACCTCGCCAGAAGCATCGACTTCAACAAGGATGGCCGCATCGACATCAACGAGTTCCTGGAGGCCTTCCGCCTTGTGGAGCAGTCCTGCTCCGAGGGCCACGCCTCCGTTTGCTGACAGGCCACAGACACTGCAGAGAGGGACTGGAGAGTCCAGGTCCATGCTGAGGCTAGCCTGGCCTTTATCACCTACAGTGCCTAGAGGCAAAGACAGCTTATGACTCCACATAGACTTGGGGGACTTGATGCTGAGAATTTGCCACCACCAGGCATTGGAGTCAAGAGTCACCTATTTGTGGGTTAGTGGGCTATGCATGGTTTGTATGTGTGTATGTGTGTGTGTGTGTTTGTGAATAGATAGTGGTCCCAATCTCATCTCAGAATCTTACAAAGGAGAACTCGGGTGTAGGTATGTATAAGTTCTAAAATATACTCTAGTTATCACTGATAATTTAACACCCTCATTGTTTTCATTTCATATCTTTTATTTATTGTTTTAAAATGTTAAGTTGGGGAGAGAAAGGTTTGTTAATTGTATTTACGCCTATGACTCAAACATACATTTTTCATTATGTACTTTTTCTTCATATAGCATTTTTCTGATTTTATGTTCTCATTTTAAAATAAATTATATTTAGTTGTATATACTTTCCCATGTTGCTATATAATCTTCTCAGTTATTATTAATGGTTGTATAATTTTCTTTCAAATTAATGTACCATAATCCCTTTGGTTCCCATCTAGTAAGCAGATAGGTTGCTTAGATTTTTGTTGTTGTTGTTGTTTTGTTTTTTATAAATGAGACCATGGCTAATTTGTTGAATGATACATTTTCATAGAATACAGATGTCAGGAATGGGATTGCTTTGGCAAAGATGCTGCATTAGTGTAGGTTCTTCAGGAAAGAGAACCAATAAACTGCAGAAATGATTTACTCGAAAGATTTGGCAAAGGGCTGGTGAGATGCCTCAGTCAGTAAAGTGTATGGCAAACATGATGCCCTGAGTTTAACTAACCAACTAACCTAGCCAGGCTGGCCAGCCTAACCAATCAGGGATCTCTGGACTCAGTGAGAGAGCCTGTCACAAAAAAGATGGAAGGGCATAGATGAGGATACCACATATAACTTTGGGTGCGTGCGCGGGTGCGCGCGCGCGCACACACACACACACAAACTTGAGCTAGGACTGCCTTTGAGCTCACTCTATGGCTGAAGACGGCCTTGAACTCCCCAGTCCTCTGGTCTCTACCTCCCAAATGCTGAAATACTCTAATCAACTGGTCAGGTACCCCATGATCCATTCAAGTCCACCCTTGGGATCACCCATCAGAGCTGAGAATGTTTTCTGGCTTGATACATATTCCAGACTGCTTTCAAGACCAAGCACAAGGATTTTACCATAGACTCACAGCTTTGAGTAGGGTCATTTCACATTTTTGCTACAGATGAATGAATAGTGTTCCTTTTGTATTTTACTGTATGTGTCATTGACTAATGTCTGACTGTCTCTTCTCCCACATTTTATTTTCTTTGTGAATGAAGGCGAACTTGAGGGTGGGGGTGTTGGAGAGATGGCTCAGCAGTTATGAGTACAGGTTGCTCTTCCAAAGGTTCTGAGTTCAATTCCCAGCAACCATATGATGACTCAGAACCATCTATAATGAGATCTGGCTCCCTCTTCTGGCCTGTAGGCAAAACATCCAGACAGAATGCTGTATACATAATAAATAAATAAATCTTTTAAAAAAAAAACTTCAGAGGACTTGCTGAGTGTGTGACTAATAAAACAATCATAAGTTGGGGCCCCCACCCAAGATGCTTTCTAGTTTTACCTGCAGCATCTAGCTCTACTCACATTATATAGGAGAAAACTACCCTGCTCCCCCTCTATTGAATGCTACACAGCCATTAGAAAGAGTGGTCCACTATTAGCTCTGGTTATGGTTGGGTTATGGCACTGGGATTAAGGTAGGTAGGACTTTCACTTTTTATATAACTGGCACACTGGTAAAGATTGAGGTGAAATTTTGGAAACAAAAGTAATTACCAAAGACATGTAGACTGTGGGGACACAAAGGACCAGAATTCTTCAGCAAATAAAGCAAACACAAGGAGAGGACCATAAAGAGAGGGAGGAGAAAACCACCTAGCTCTACTCTTTTGCCCTATCACAGGCCAAGACAGTTTCGTTATTAACCAAAGGTATTCATAGCATACAGAGGGGAATCCCACATCATGTCCCTAAGTTTGTATACAGCTTGAAGTCATGTGAACTTTGCTGAAATGACCTTGGTGACCCTCAGGCCATCGTAAATTGTCTGATGCTCTGAGTAAAGCTGGCAATTGCACGAGACTTTAGTCTGCCTTACTTTCAGGCTCTATCCTCCCAGGTCCCACTGCCTCAGGAGCTGTGGTAAAAGAAAGGGACTGTTTTTTCAACTCTACTGAGAAACAAACAAGATTTTACTAGAAGAGGATGAATTGCCTCGCTCTTGTGGCCTGGAGTCAACTGGGACCTAGACATGGGAGAGTTCTGGAGACCTTTGTAGGGAGGGACCCCTCCAATACCTGGAGGCAATGTGACCACGCTGAGCTTGGACTGGACAGGGGGACCTTGGTATAACACTACTCCACATGCCTGTGCCAAGCCTCCCACCAGTGACATCCGGGACAAGTCCCCTGCATGTACACAACCCGTACACATTAAGGACGTTCATTTTATGATTTTTGGTTGAAATTCTCAATGTATAAGCCCGATCTGAACTAGTCAAGCATTACAGTAATTTTCGAGTTGTTGCAATTCCCATTATTCATTAACAACCACTGCCCCCCCAGTGTCCTGAAACAATTATTCATGTGTCACAAATAACCACGAAAGTGTGCTACCCAAACAGGAAGCAGCGACTTAGCCCTTAAAGAATGAGGTGTCAACTGGCTCATCATATGTAAATGAGGGTCATCAGAACTACTTTTAATGTGCTAATCTTATGCATATAAATACCTGTTCACATCCAGACCATCTGAAATCTGAAATCAAGGTTTTGAAGGCGCTCAAGATTCTCCGACACTCCATTCTTCCTGGCCCTACCGGTAATATTCTTTCCATCATAAATGACTTCATCTTATAAAACATATGGTTTCAAATTTAAGGATTCACCACAGTAACATTTTAGCTCAGTATTTTTTTGGTTCTTTAAATATTGTTCTATATGTTTTCATGTACTTTTATTTTTTAATTTTTTATTTATTTGCCCATGTGTTTTGCTGTTACTCTGATAATTAGTCTAGGTTATATTAGGACTTTACAGTAATTAACAACTAAAAACAAATTAGTGTGATTGTAGAACAGTCACAAAAACTCTTGACAAGATAGATTTTTTTTTAAAAAAAAAAAGATGGATTTTTTAAAAAGATGCATCTTATTTTTGCTGCTTGCATGAGAATGCTGTGCTTACATGTATGTTGTGTACCACATGCATGCCTGATGTCCAGTGAAGTCAGAAGACATGCCGGGCCCTTGGGCCTTGAATTATAGACTGTTGTGAGCCACAACATGTGGGTGCTGGGAACCGAACCTGGATCCTCTACAAGAGCATCAAAGGCTCTCAACACCTGAGCCATGTCCCCAGCCCTCACTTTGGTAATTTAAATTTGCATAAAAACTTAAAGCATCAGAATGATATTTGTCAGAATACTGTAGAAAACGGAGAACTTTGACCCTATTTTTTAAGTATTTATTGATAAAATAGTCAGCATCATTACATAGAGGGCAGAAAGGTCTAATCCCCAGCCCACGGGGAGCTGTAAAAATCAGATGAAGTTAGCAAATGACAAATGCAGGATTCCAAAAATATAAGTGACTGACGGTGATCTTTTAAACTCATGGGAAAATATTCCTAATAGAGATTTAATATTTGTAGTGTGCTTGAATGATGCAGATCCTGAACTAGAAACACACATTACAGCTGGACAGTGGTGGTGCGCACCTTTAATCCCAGCGCTCCGGGAATCAGTGGTGGGCAGATCTCTGTGAGTTCGAGGCCAACCTGGTCTACAGAGTGAGTTCCAGGACGACAGTCAAGGGCTACTCAGAGAAAACCTGTCTCAAACAAACAAACAAACAAACAAACAAACAGAAGAAACATGCATTACTCATTTCCTTTTTACATTTACTCATTGTGGGTGTGGGGGATGTGTGGGGGTGTGGGGGTGCTTGTGCCACAGAGCATGTGTGGAGGCCAGGAGCTGACTGTCTTGTTCCATCAAATGGGTCCCACGGATGGAACCCAAGCTTGCAGGCTTGAGCCATCTCACCAGCACAGAACACATATCATTCTTAAGACAGCTGAGTCAGAATCTGTGTCGCAGATTTGTAAAATCCTGCAGAATGTCCAAATCTTTCATCTTTAATTCTGTGATTCCAACTCCAGAGACTCCTGACCTGGCTTTGTGTTCTGTACACAGGAACTTCCCTTTTATTTTGTTAGTTTTGTATGTGTGTGGGTGTTTTGCCTTCAAGTGTTCTTTGTATCACATGCGTGCCTGGTGCCCGGTGAGGCCAGAAGAGGGCATCAGTTTTCCTGGAGCTGGGCCACAGTCTGTGGGGAGTGTCTGTGTAGGTGCTGGGAACCTGGGTCCTTGGCAAAGGCAGACCATGCTCTTAATCACAAAAACATCCCTTCCTTCCTTCCTTCCTTCCTTCCTTCCTTCCTTCCTTCCTTCCTTCCTTCCTTCCTTCCTTCCTTCCTTCCTTTCTTCTTTCCTTCCTTCCTCCTTCCTTTTTTTTTTTTTCTTTTTCTTTTTCGGTTTTTTGAGTCAGGGTTTTTCTCTGTAGCTTTGGAGCCTGTTCTGAAACTTGCTCTGTAGACCAGGCTGGTCTCAAGCCTGCCTCTGCCGCCTGCTCTGCCTCCCATGTGCTTGGATAAAGGCATATGCACCACTGCCTGGCAAAACATTTTATTCGTTTTCAATTCCCTTAAATTTCTTTTTCTTTCTTTCTTTTTTTTTCTTTTTGGTTTTTGTTTGTTTGTTTGTTTTTTGAGACAGGGTTTCCATATGTAACAGCCCTGGCTGTCCTGGAACTAGTTTTGTAGACCAGGTTGGCCTCAAACTCACAGAGATCTGCCTCTGCCTCCTGGGTGCTGGAATTAAAGGTGTGTGCCAGCACCGCCCACCTTCCATATTTCTTAACTACTTCTCTA